GGTTCTGAGTAGTGGTACGGGGGGATGTATGGAAGCGTTCCTTTCTCTTTTCTCCTCCCTCCAAAAGAAAAATAAACAGTAATTATGCATTAAAGCAAAAGCTGTTAATATTTTGTCTAGAACTGACCTTGATTTCTGTGGTAAGGGCATGTTTTGATCATCTCCTATTCACCACATTGGTGACCGGGGGTTACCTCTTACTCTAAATATATGAGATTATGGAAAACAGGCATCTAACACCAGACAGATGAGACTGACAGCAGTTTATTAGTCACACACACTCACAGCCTGGGAAAGGAAAATACCCTGATATGTGCAGGGTCACATGGGGTTGTGCTCAGGCATGCAGTGAACAGGCAGGGTCTGTGGGGGGCAGGCTTTGTAGTAACAAAGTGTGATGGCAGCCTGGTTCCTGTAGACTGGATGTGATTGGTTGGTTTGAATAATGTTGAGAGCTAGCAGGGGAAGTGATACCTGTTAGGTTGGGACTTATGTAGAGTGCAGATAGTCTGGCTAATAAGGGAACTAGTCAGGTGGGGAGGTCTTCCCTCTGGGTGAGGAGCATACCTAATGAAAGCAGGAAAACGTGGTTAGACCTTTGGGGTCTGTGAGGTTCAAAGGCATCAAGGCAGCAAATGAAATTTTGAGTCTTATAATGTAGGGCACTAGATAGAGGAAAAATAAACTATATTTCTCTTTTGTATTAGCAAATTTATGTAGTTGATAGTGTTATAGTATGTGTCACCATAGATGTTCCTCAATCCAGTTTCAAAAGCCTTAAATTCAGTGTAAATTGCTCAAAGAATCTCACAGTAGGTTGAATGTCAGTCTCAGGACCGGAGTAGAAATGTTGTCCTTAGGTATTTTAGAAAGAATTTGGGGTAAGTGGTTTCAAAGACTGACATCCAGACATTTTGAAACTTTTGAGAAGATTTTAAAGAAAGCAGTAAAAGTGGTAGTTGCATTAAGCACCAAGAAGCGGACTACAGTAGTGCATTTGATATAACAGCAAGAAGATGAGGGTTCTGCTGAGTGATGCTTCGCTTGACCTCTCTGTTCCTTCTTTCTTTAATATATAAAATAAAGAATGAGTCTAGATGATTTTACAATCCTTTGTCTCTAAACTGATGGTGATAATTTCAGATAAATAGAAACATTTTATTTAGTGTCTACAAGGCCTAATTCTCCAGAATAATTACCCTTTGCCTGTCCCCTACTAATTTATGATTTCCTTTTCTTAAGCGCTTAACATGGAATGCACATTTCCTGGTACACAAAAAAATTTCTAAAACATGATTTTCAAATGAACAAATACATGTAGCTAAACAAGAGATACTTGTGGGAATTCTAAACAATGTTAAATATTTTGGGTCCTCTATTACTTCAACAGTCGAACACTATTACTAACTAACTAGCTGGTTATATTATGAAAGTAATAACTAGGATTCACTGTGGGCATTACAAATGGCACAGAATGAATGGCCCATCAGACCCTATATGGCACATTGTTTCTCATGCACCTGTTCAGCTAACCTGTGATCTAGAGAAGTTTAGTTAGTCTCATTCTAGACCTCAAGTCTTCACTTTGTCTCCTTTACAAGGATGCTCCTGATTTCAATCAGCTACTGGAAATGTCAGATGAAAAATGGCACAAATGTGAATTATGACAATAAAAGTTTATAAGCTACTAAAATAAAGTTATAGTACCTAAGAGCTGAGTCAACTGACAATGTTAAATGGAACATTTTACAACCAGTCCTGGGATAATGATTAAAAAAAAAGGCACACAGAGCATGAAGAAATATCTGACAGGAAACAGGCCCAAGATCCAGCTCAGGCTACATGATGGTGTGTGAGCTTACCTGGAAAGTGGGCAGGAGGAGGCGACAATCTAAGGTTTGTGGACTGCCTCCTCTGTGTCCGGCCCTTGACAGCCATTATCTCTTTGACTCCTCATGACAACTCAGTGAGGGAGAGTCTGTTGACATCATCTCATAGAAACTGAGGCTTAAGTGGTCCAATGATCTGCCCAACAACTACACTGTTAAGGCAAGACTTAACTTTAAAAGTCTGCCTGACTCCAAAGCCCATGCTCTTTCTATATCTTTTTATACCCAATTCTGTCTCTTCACATAGATAGATAATCTCCATATAAATAAAATAAATTTTAAGTATCCTGAGGAACCTTTATGTCTGACTTGATACAAGCATTTGTCCCATGCTATCAATTCAGACGACGCTTCTCTTTACCATGTAAATTAGCTATACCGAGAATGCTAAATGATACTTAAATATGGCAAAAATATGGGACTAGAATGAAGATGAACATTAGAAAGAAAGCCACATGCTAAAAATGATGTGTCAGGATGACTAAAGGAGCATTGTAGAAAGTCTGAATAAGTAATATAGTAGTCTTCTTTTTTTTTTTTGGTTAGATAATCCCACTCACAAAATGTTTTGTCCATATCCAAAGATTTATATTACCTTTCTCTAACTTTTCTAGTACAAATGTCCTTCTCACCTGTCACACGAAACCTCCAAATACCAAGTCAGAGTACTTCTCATTTCTGTTTCCACAGCATCCCCATGACGACAGTGCTCTGGCGTGCCCAGGGAGATCTAGTGGTATCTCCTAAAAGGCTGGTATTTGCCGTGATGACACAATTTCTTAAAAATATTATGTTTTACCTTTAAGGGTCTTAGAAAATTTGTATTCTTCTTCTTCATCTGACTCTGTTATAATATAGTCTTTTCAATTACTTCTTATGGACCAGAATTCATGCTCCAGGAAGAATTAATGTCATGTTAATTCTGAGGCTTCACATACTCTATGCAAACTCCTCTTACTCTAGCCAGAGAAACACGGTGATAAAAAGGTATAATCACATGACATGCAAAGTGCTGATGTGAAATGAGAAGGACAGAAATACGACAGGGATATTAATGCAAGAGGGGAAAAATGGCACTGTTTGAATAGGCTTAGAAGGATGGTTTAGTTCTTTCTGAAAATAAGTAGAATGTTATCTCGCCATATCTTGACCTCCAACTCAACTCTCTCAAGTACAGTCAGATGTTTAGTTCCTGTGTGCACACACACACACACATGCATACACACAAAAGCACACATATACACATCAAAAAGGCTACACAATATCCAATAGACAGACTTATAGAAAAACAGTCAGTGAACTTCATTTACCCATCTAAACATCAGATAAATTCACCATGTCACTATAGCAATAACGCCATATATTTTCATTATAATAGGACCCAAATAAAATTGTAAAGTGGAACTTAAAAATAGGTATGGTAATATTTATTTTGATAAGTATCATGATACCTATCATAATTGGCATTATTTTGCCAAATAACCCCTATTTGTCAGGCATTGTTCTAAATACTAAAAATAAAAGGATAAACAAGACGCACACAGCTTCTGCAAATTAACAGCATAATCAAGATTACCTTTACAACACAGTTCTGCTGACAAAATAATACCTGTTTTGTAAGTTCCACTTTACCATTGTATTTATCTGTGCTATAATTTATTTAGGCTAGCTTTCACATATAGGTCCAAGAATATAATAGACACAGCTAATTTGCACTGTTGATCCATAGTAACAGTCATTGAGAAGGTAAAAAACAAAAGACAAACAGCTTTAAATGGGAAATGGCACAATTAATCACAATTGCCATACTTATGCACTTGCTGACTGTGATCAGAACAGTTAAGTTAAATCCCATTTAAGAGTGTGCGTTGTTGAGGGAGAGGCCAAAAACCACTTTCTACTGCAAGAAACAACCCTACAATCCATGTGTCAAAGATGGTACTGAAGCCCAGTCCTATTGGTTCATAGACTGATTGCTCTGGTCCCACACCCTCTTTACCTCCCCTGTAGGAGTTGTTCCTATAAAAAGGCAAAGAAATGGTGAATCCTTGGCATTTGCATGTTCAAAGATGATCATTTCCTGTTCTCATAATGCATAACATTTAAAAAATTCAACTCATTCAGAGTTACAGTTAAATTCTCTCTGTTAAGTTAGATATTTCTCTTTTAATCATTCTGTAGTGCTATGTATCTGTAATATATTTGGTAATATTAGATCTCCTTGCTGTTTTTAAAGTATTGCCTATGAATAAGTATGGCATATATAAGATGTATAATATAATGCATTATATTTTATGTATTAAACGTTACCCCAAAATTCACTGAAGAAATAAAAAGTATGTGCGTCGATAGAGAAAAAGAGATACAGAGATAGAGTTATTGCACAGATCCAAAGCAAAAGTCAAAACTTAGAAGCAAATTAAAGCAATTACCTTGAATCCTGAATAGTTTCATATATACCCAGTATGACATCATAATGAAGTACAGGTACTTTATTTGGTAGTATCAAATTGAAGAATTTACTTATTAGGTCAAAAGAAAATTTCCATGTTAACCAGAGATTGCAAGTAATTTGACCAACAGGGTTATGTGATATTACCATAAGGTAGCCCTGGATTTATCTAAGTTGTGAAAATAATTTAACATCTATCACCTACATATATTATCTTACTATCCTTACAATTAGCATATGAAACAGACTATTTGGTCGCAGAAAATATTTTTCATTCATCCACTATATATTTGCCAAATAATCCCTACATGCCAGGCACTGTTCTAAATACTAGAAATATAAGGATAAATAAGACGCACCCATGGCTCCTGTAAATTAATAAAATAGTCAGGATTACCTTTACAACCCAGTTCTTTTGACACCTATATTGCATGATGCAAATTAAGGGTGTTTTGTGACCTTCAAAGTATTTGGGGTGCTTTGCTTATCATTTTACTGTTAATTACAGAATTAAATAAATTTTGGCAAGTTTCAAATGAGCTTTTTTGCTTTGTGGATATTACTGAAGTGAATAAAGCTCTATGAATTGTGGAATGATAAAATATTCACAGAAACTTACAACTCTGCAGCTGAATAACAATTACATTTGTTCCAAACAGGCAATTGGTTTCCAAACACATTAAACAAAGGCAATTTAGAAAGCTTCTTCTTCTTCCTGGCATCATTAACATTGTTGAACGTCCTGGGATTCTGGAGTGTTTCACAAAGGTAAGTAAGTGTGTGGTAAGATGAAAAATTTCTGAGTCCATGAAATATGGGTCTGGGAACCATCACTGAGCCAGCGGGAATTCTGTATGCCATGACTGGACAAATTAGCATATTAGAGAAATTCAACAGATTATTCAGAGCAAGAAATTTCAATTTAGACTTCACTTTTTCCATCGATCCTCATAATAAAAGAGTGCTTTACAAATTCTAAAACATGTTCCAACACAACATTTTTCTCTCCACTATGTAGCATCACTTTAGAATTAGAAATAGCCATATTGATAATAAGAATGAGTGAATCATTATCATTAAAAGCAAATATCATTAAACAAATAGCTAGAAATCTAATGATGCTTGAGATTTGGATCCTATTCAGGCCTTTAAATCAGCAGTGAGCATTTCAAGGTCAATTAAAAAAAAAACTGTAAAAAATCCCCTAGCTTGTCACCTGAGACCACCTGAGGGTGGCTTAATATGTACCATCTACCATACATCAATCCATTGCCAGACCATATCTCTCTCTCTCTCTCTCTCTCTCTCTCTGTCTCTCTCTTACCCCTTGACATATTCTTGTACAGCTGTGTACTTTTGAGAAAATTCTCTAACATCTCTGGACCTCTGTTTTTACACCTGTAAAATAAAAAAACCTCTTGTGGGTTTTAGGGGGACGAATATTGATAAAGGGCTAAGCACAATGTCTGTCACAAAGCAGGAACTAAACAGATTTTCATTTTCCTCATTTCCTTCCATCCATTTATCTCTTTAGTCATGTAGTCATATATTATCTCATCCATTGTCACTTCACCCTTGCCTAGATCATTATTTTATTAACCTAACAAATCTCTTTTTGAACATCAGCTATGTGATAGGTAGTGTCATAAACTAGAAAGATGCAAAGTCAGTAAGTCGATAAAGGTTTAATTCCATCAATGTTCTGCTCTGATTGGCTTATAGTCCAGTATAAGAGAGGATCAAACCTCATGCAAGGCAGAATTGATGACAAAATTAAAAAGCTTAATGGCTTCCTGAATTTTTATATTTCTTATACTCTAAAGTATATAAATTATCAAACTGATCCTTTCACAGTGCATACTTTTCCTAAATGCTGATCTCATTCTTAGATGGACAATCATATTAGAGAATCAGAAAGTTTTACAGAAAGATCCAACAGGAATGTTCTTAGCATTGTAGCAAAATAGATTTCACAGTGAAAATGGAAGCTGGAGGCATGGCCTCCTTTCCCTTCATCCACTGCCTCTAGACCCATAACTGTTGCTCATTCAGTAATTCTCAAACACCTGCACTCTCAATTTTTACTGTGTATCCTATGGTAAGGTTTGATCCTTGAAGTAATTTAGTTAAATTACTTGTCCAGTTCCACAATTTATCTACCATACAACTTCAGCAAGCTGTTTAACCTTGCTAAACCTCGGTTACTTCATTTTAAAAACAGAAATGATAAGAATGGTAACTGTGTCATAAGGTTTTTGTGAGGATGAGTAAATGATCCAAAGTGTTAGCAATTATAATTATTATGGTCTCATACCTAGCTGTATGGTCTCTTCTTCCTCCTTTTTATTCTTCTCCTGGACTTATGCAGAGGTGTGGCCAAGATGACCACGGTCATGGACAGAGTTCAGGTAGAACTAGCACTGGACCCAGAATCCATTAGCTCAGGGTGACTCATTAACATGCCCACTCAACCAACAGGCTAAGCATTGTTTCAGGCACTAGAGTTGAACAGACAAATTCCTAGTCCACATGGAACCAACATCTAGGGCCCAAAGGAAAATATTCACATGTGATTCTTTCTCCGTGATTGTGGAACAAGTCAGTTTCAGTAAAGAAGTGAATAATAGTGGTGTGGGGGGCAGAGGACGAGGTAAGAATAAAAACGTACAACACACCAGAGATTGGAAGAACCAAAGATGAGAAGGAACGAAGTAAAAGGTAAAGTTCATTCAGAAATAAATCTGATTCTTACCAAATCTCCATCTCCTATCTACTTTCTCTTCTCCTGCATACTTTTTTAGGGAGAAAATAGAGAGAGAGGGGAAGAAACAAAGCAGGAGAAAAGGAATTAATTTTCCATGTGTTGAGCAGCCTGTGTGTCTTGGATGGCATGCTATACACATACAAACAACTGCGCATAACTCCCCACCACCTTCTTGACATATAGATCTTATAATTCTACTTTATAAATCAGAAAACAAAACTGCAAAGCCAGTTAATTAAATTCACAAAGTTCACATAACTAGGATTCAACCCCAAATTTGTCTCTGAAGCCCACACTTCTATACTCCTGTTCTGTGCTGCCTCCAAGTGCCATAGAAGAGTCCTCTTCTTGCTCTCTGACAATTCCTAACTTGGTTTGGGAGAAAATGATTGCCTTCAGTGAAAGTAACTCTACCTGCTACCACCTGTTGACCAGCACCCCACAAGAAAAAAAATGGATGTCACACAGAAGAAAGGAGAGCCTGGAAAATTTGCCTCCAGAGATTAAGCAGTTAGAACCAATGACATCAATGCCAAGGCACATGTTGCTTTGGGGACCTATTGGCCATTGGGATTGGACAGGCCAAGTCAGAAGAGTTAAGCAAGACACAGTATGAAATCTGAGAAAGAAAGACCATTGTCTGCAGTGAGGAGCACATGATTGCGATTTTTTTTCTATACTGATGGTTTTTGTCAAAAACGTAAGCATGCTCATTATTCACATAAGCAAGAACAATGGCATGCAAAGAAACAGGCAAAAGTACCAACGTCCCAGGGACAGCATTATTGAAACATATTACTTATAAGTCAAATTTTATCTAATCTCAGCACATATGCAATCATAATCCCATTTTTATCAAACCCAAAGGTGTATTGGTTCAAAGCCAGGTGACAGTGGTAAATCTTTCAAAAACAAGGCAGTCCCAACTTATTCCTGTCCTCAAGATCTTGAAGACAGTGGATTAATTAGGAAACAACATCCTCACCAAAATACAGGTAGGATGAGGTCTGTTTTAGCACCCTAGACACCTCCACATCCAAGTTCATATTTGTCTGGCATAATATTAGGGTAAGTCCTAGAATCAAACCAATCTTGTGAGGGCCCCGGGACATTCTCTCTCAAATCCCCAACTGCATAAAGCTAGGAATTATACTTACATATAAAGCCAGACTTACCTGTCACATGTACCAAAAAAAAAAAAACAATCCCTCCACAATCAAATCTGAAGTACTGCATTGGTGACATTTCATACTCGAGGCTTTCCAGTTTAGGGATGAAGAAAGTAGGTAGATGAAATGTATTTTCCTTACTGAAAAGTATTAGGTAAATATGTCTATAGTGCTTCATATAAATATGTATCCTATCCCACACTGGGTGCTAAAATAAAAAGAAATTTCAGGTGTTTTGATGGGGAGGGGCAGAGAGTGTTTGTTTTTTATAACTAACACCACCATCCTTCCAGTGTTGTAAAACACATCTTATAAAGCTGATATTGCACTTGTTTTGTCAACTATTTCAGTCATCTTTTGTGCCTACGCTGTAAGAATTATTGAAAGTGACATAAATCAGAGACAAATGACCAAAATTGTTCAGGCAGTATTCATTCCCTTACAGTTAAAGTTATTTTTAGTAATGTATTGAGAAGGAAAAGAAGGTAAAATTAACTTTTGAAACCTTCACAAATCAAAAATAGATGACCGACCTCATCTATTTGTGAGACTCATGTGTATGTGATAAAATTAAACTTACAGCCGATATTCATTTGTTCATTTGCCAAATATTTATTGGACATCTACTATGTATCAATCACTGGGAATAAAGCAGTGAATAAAGCAATTTGAAGTTTCTATTTTCTTGGAACTTACCCAAAAGTGTTTAAGAAAGTAATTTGTCTTTAGAGGCAGTATGCCATAGAGGAAAAAGGCCAGGATTCAGAATAATCAAGTTCTGGCTCCAAATCCGAACTCTGCCAACTACTATTTCTATGAATGTTAAGCAAGTTATTTAACCTCTTGGAAGTTTCAGTTTCTCAGTCTGTGAAATGGGATGATTCTAAGTACTAGCCCCTTACATGGGGCTAGTACTTAGAAGACACTGGAAAGGCAGGCTTTACTGGAGGTTGGGGTTGGAGAGTGCACAGTCTAGAAATATATTCATGGAATCCTTCTTTGACAATGGCAGCTTCCACATAGTCTCAGCACTGAATTTACAAATCCCCAGTAAACCTCTTACGAGTCCTGACCACCATGAAATCTGTCAAGTCAACAGGCTTTCAGATTTAGCACCTTCTCTCCATCAGCACTGAAGACAGCACAGCAGGCTGTAAAAAAGCGCCACCTAAAGGTCCTTCTGAGACACTTTACTAAGTCACGAAAACTCCTTTGTCCTTTTAAAAAGACTGTTTTGGTGAGCAGCGCTCTTAAATAATCAACAGTGTTGTGCCAGTATCTATGAGCCCATCATAAAAGGTAGACAAGCACAGGACGGAAGCAAATGATTTATCAATTCATCTACATCTGGTCCTAAGGAAATCTTTCTTTCTTTCTTTTTTAGGTATTGTAATCTAAATCATTTTAATGCCCAGAACATCCGTGGAAGTAATCTTGAAGAAACACTTCTCCTCCACGAAAAGTCTCTGAAATTTTATGGCAGTGTACAGAAATTTTCTTCAAGTATTGATCTTTGGGAGACAGCCCTGTGAAACTGTATTTGGGTCTACCTGTCTTATGAGAACAGTATTCATTGTTTTCTTCTTCAGTTGAGCATTTTATATGTTGCAGTGTAAGAGCCAATAGATATGAAGGTGATTTTATAAATATCATCTGCATACTTTACTTACAAAGACTAATTATGAACTTTCTGGTAAACCGTGATGCTTTTGCATTAACATTATGCATTAGAATTAATAAAATAATTTCAAAGTCTAGGTGATTATGACAAAAAAAAATGAGTTTTCTATATACTAGTAATACCTTACAACTTTCTACAATGGTTCAGTCATTGAAAGCATATGACTTTTTTTGGAGTTTTAGTGATTCATTAGAAGCAAAATGACAGTATTTTAATACACTCTCTTTCAATACACTTATTGAGAACTTATTACATGCCAAGCATTGTGACCTTATACTGTATACAGCTGAGTAAATAATAGACATATACATGATTTTGCTATATTTGCTCTTTATATTACACTATCAAGATATGACTTCATTAAAGAAATTTTCTCTGAATTTAAAAGCAGTATTACTACGATAGATGTCCTTAACAAAGAGAACGTCCACACACTAAAAAAGTTGAAAAATAAATGTAAGATACGGAATTGTTGGAATTAAAGGAAAGAGGAAATGAAGGAAGATAAAATGAGGAGTGAGAGGAGGGTAAGTGCCCAAACCAAATAGAGCTGCTTAAAGGAATTATACGAATAACATCTTTTGGTCTCCACTGCCAATTCAGAAGCATTCAGAAAATCATCTTCTAAGAGTTTGTTCTCTTATAAGCAAATATATGTATAAACTCATTTTAAAAAATCAAATAAAATGAATGTCTGTTTCTTGTAGCAGTATTTGTCAAAATTTGGTTGAGGACAACTTGCTACAGGTGAATTTTTCTGGCCCCTACACAGACTGCCTTAACCCAAACCTTTTATCAGATTGGGGTCCAGGAATTGGTGGTTTTAATAAGCACATCTAAATCATTCTCATGTTCCCTAAAGTTTAAAAGCCATTGCTTTTCCAGGACAATTCATGCTGGATAGGACAGGTGAGTTTATCGGCTGACTGCAAATTATTCTACAATTATGCACCTCCCTTGTGTCTACATAAAATATTTTAGGTCTGTAGAATAAAAGATTTATTCAACTTGATTAGGTAGGCTATGCATTTTTAATTGCAAAAGAGGAGCTGTAAAGCACCAGGTGTTTTTCTTACTCAAACTATTTTTTGTTTGAGGACAAATGAAAAGACTTGCTGGTAGAGGCATAAATTCTTTCCCTGCAACTTTTTCAAATCCTTTCTGTTTAGCAATCGTTTCCTAGCAAAACAGTGAGGCAGACCCTTGATATTCCTTAGAAGCTTTCCTTGCTGCAAAAGGTTAAATGCCAAGTTTGCAATTTGGGTTTAATGAACACCCAAAAGAGCAAGAAATCTTTAAACACTTCACCTCAGTACAAGTGGGAAGCTCTAGTCTCTGCTACTGTTAGAAAAGGGGTCTGCTTCATTTCGTTCTCCCCACTCCCCACAAATTTGCCTTCATCTCCTTAATTCCTGCATCATAATAGAAAAAGGTGCTCATTATGCTTTCACTTGTACTTAGAGATGAAAGATCTATAGAATTATAAAGTTGACCCAAAGCAAACACCAAAAGAGCTTAGAATTCTCATGTTGGCGTTGACACTCGTGATTAGCTAAATTGCAGTAACTACACAGGCTTCCATTCAGAACAGGATGCATTCACACAGCAGTTTCTTCTCTACTGCCTAGCAACATTATCACTGAGCACCTGGAATAGTTTAGGCATTAAGTGTAATTGGTTTTGCTTTACATAAATCTGTAGCTTTGTAAATAAGCGGAGTATTTCAGCTTCTATATAACACCAATTAACTTAAAGGGATGCGTTGTTTGCAGTAGCCTGCTGGGTTTCGTACTGTATTTCTTCAGTAATATGCTCAGTGGCGGGTGAAGTTCTGTGTCCCTGCAGTGTTCCATTTACTCCAACCACTTGGTGCCAAGGGTCTGTACCCAGCCACTCATTTGCTCCATTTTTCACTGGTGGTAAAAGGTTGGAAAAGTGAAGACTTCTCTAAGAAGCACCTTCTGTGCTCTATTTCTGTCCATGATCAAGGCCTGAAAGGCGAGGTATCTGAAAATGTTTTCTGTGACCTGCAAAGCACAGGTCTGACCCCACCTGATTCTGTTCGCAACTGACAGTAACATCTCTTTTCCTTTTTTTCTTGTAACACTTCAATCCACTGTAGCCAAAAGTCACTACATTGACCCTCTATACAAAATTAAGAAAACCATACTCTTATTACATAAATTTACAAGTGAAAATGATTTTCATCAGAGTGACTTCTTTAACAGCACAAAATAACCTTCAGAAGTCTGCTCCTGAAAGTGGGTAAATGTTCCCTAGCTGCGTGGATATTTCTCCTTATTTCTTCTTTATTCCATTTAATCCCTTATATCTCATATCCCCTTCAGGTAATCTTGATTTATAGCATTCTTCCACCCTGGCAAACCTTTAATTATCTTGGTTTCTGAAAGCGTTTTATCAACTATCAGAGTAACAGTATCACCAAATAACAGCCCATAATTCCAAAAAGTTTCCTATTATAATATTGCACGATTTATAAATTGAAGGAGAGAAAATAATCTCTTCTGAAAACTGTCAGGACCCCTTGTTCTATGAAAACAGGGCTTCCACACTGGTACTCTGAGCCAGTTGGGCAAGAGGCATCTACCATCTACCCATTCTCTCACGACAAGAGAAGCCAGTGTACAATTATTGGTCCCAGACTTACGAGTAAAGCCCTTAAATAAAATCAGCAGCCAAGTGATGACAGCACACAGGTGCTGCTAGAATTCAGGTCTGCTTGTAGAGAGCAGGGAAATTAAAGAAACCACTAACAGTAACAACTCACATCTGTGTCACTTCTTACAGTTTACAAGTTGCTGTCACACATATTATCACATTTGATTAGCACCACCACTCCAGGAGGCAGGCACATTTTAGCATGTCCATTTTGTAAATGAGAAACTGTAACTCTTGAGACCTTAAGTGATTTATCAAGAGTCACAGAGATAGTAGGTGGCACAGACAGGACTTGAACCATGGTCTGTCTGTCGCTAGAGTGCTAGCTCCTTCTGCAATACTCATAATGTCACCAACATTGGATCATTTCCCAGCCACTTAGGTGAAACACTCTCTACATCATCCAAAAGGGAACAAGAATGGGAGAGAAGATTATGTGAAGGTTACAGACTCTGACAAAAGTTTTTTAAGCATCTCTTCTCCCTCACTCAGCTCTCCCTATGGAGCCATACCGTGTCCGACATGGACCTCAGGATGTCAGAAACAGTCCCTGAAAAGACCCACCCAGATTGAACACCATGGCAGGGGAGGAGTTCTCAATGTCAAAACAATCCTTTCCTTCTCCTTTCATCAAACGGACTTGGCTGTGCTACAGTCAATTGGAAACTGCCTTAGAAAAGCAATTTGAGAAAAACAAAGGTACCCTGAAAAGTGTTACTAATAATTATGGTGACTTCCGTAGTACTTGTTCAGTTCAAGACATTGTTCTAAGTATTTTCAATGCATTTGCTCATTTAATCATCACAGTAACCCCATAAGTTAAATACAATGGTTAATTGTATTTTATAGATAAGAAATATGAAAGATACAGGGGCTAATAACTTTCCAAGGGTTATGCAGACAGTATGGGCAGAGTCAAGGTTTGGACCCAGGACATTTGTCTACAAAATCTGGGGGCCATTCCTTTCTACATAACTGTCTCTCAGTATAGCTGTTATCTAGAGGAGGTTTTTCTATATTCCGAGGGGAGCTGAATTCCAGGGAAGACAGTGCCTAAGCTTAATGGATTTTGGTTTTTTTCTGTCCCAACACATAAGAATATGACTTCTTCCATCGGTAATTACCAGGTTGAAACAACATTGATACTCAATATCCCTACACTGTCCCCCTTTCTCTCCTTTCAAGAATAATTACTTTCTCCTGCTTACGTGTGAAAGTAAACAGATATTCTAAGAAGAATAAATATTTTATCAGCAACATTCAGTAAGATGAGAGAAGACATGTGGTTGGGTGATCTGAGGTGGAAATAGTTATTGTAAGGCAAGGAAAAAAGTTTGTTAACACCAGGCACAATGGCTCATGCCTGTAATCCCAGCACTTTGGGAGTCTAAGGCCAGTGGGTCACCTGAGGTCAGGAGTTCAAGACCAGCTCGGCTAACCTGGTGAAATCCCATCTCTATTGAAAAGACAAAAATTAGCTAGGCATAATGGCAGGTGCCTGTAATCCCAGCTACTCAGGAGGCTGAGGCAGGAGAATCATTTGAACCTGGGAGGTGGAGGTTGCAGTGAGCCAAGATCGCACTGTTGCACTCCATCCTGGGTGACAGAGCGAGACTCCATCTCAAAAAAAAAAAAAAAAATTGTTAAATGCTATATACAGTGAGGAAGTTAAAGAAGGAGCCCAAAGGCACAGTTCTTGGGGCAAAATGTCAGGTTCTGTGGCAGTGAGTGGGCACATCTATTTAAGAATTGTTGTAGGCATACTTTTCTGGTGTTCTCCAAATGGCAATGTATGCCCCCTGTTTCTCATCTGAAACAGTCACAGTTAGACCAAGATAGGAAATGGAGGTCAACTAGGCTCTCTGCTTCCTTAACTTCTATGCAGACATTCCTGACATTTCCTGGATTCTTCCAGCCCTGTCCTCCTGCCCTTCTTCTCCAGGAATACTCAAAGATAGTGATGATAATTCTTTCTCTCTCTCTCTCTGCCTGTGTGTTCCATGAAGGCTGACTAGAGTACAAAAGATGCTATGTGAAAATAATAAATAAATAAATAAATAAATAAATGACGCTATGTGACACCCAGGTGATGCACTGCCCCTAGTCCACTCAGAGGCTTTATTAATTATTAAATAATAATAGCACCCAAACTCTAATCTATCATTCATCACACAGGTTCGAATCCATTTCCTGGCTGAGAATCAGTTTGTTTCTTAAGCTTGCTAAACCACAAGTGATCAAATCTCATATACATACAGTAATGAGTCAATAGCCTATGACAAGTGCCTATTACCATGGTAGCAGCAAATCAGGAGCACCTTTAATGACATTTATGCAAAGAAAAAGGCAATGGTTCTACCAGGGACATACAATGGAGAAGAATGAGATCAATGGGAGGCAGAGATTTGGCAAAAATCAGGGGAAAGACACCAGAACGTTAAAGATATTACCAAGAAAACCTACATCTCATCGTCGTGGTCAGTTTTTATTTTCCCAAAGCAATCAATAGAAGCAAAATGAGGAGAGTGGGGAAGACATGCCAAATTTTAAAATAAGTGAAAGAGCTCTCTGTCAGAAATGCCAGAGGGGAAGTGAGAACCTCAAAAGTGAGAGCAGTAAGTGGCCATCTGGAAATTTCGATTTCCCATTTTGGCACACGGCATAGCACATAGTAGGCATCTTGCTTCGTCTGAGTTGACTATGACTCCTCTTTGAGCCTGCCATACTGTTTTTTTACCATTTTCCCAAGCATCTCTTACACGACCTAAACCTGCCCGATCAATTTCCACTGTGTCTCCAGAAATAGACTTTTGTTTCTAGTGCAGCTTGTGCAGTTCTGCCTTATTTCATTGCAGCCAACCATGCCTGAAAGACAGGAACAAACAAGATGGACAAGCGTGGCAGTGAATAAACCATTTTACTGCAATTAGAAGTTCACGGAGAATAAATTATCCTCTAGTTCAAGCTGTCCAGCAGTAATTCTCATTAATAATAACACTTCAACAACAGTCTGCTTCCCACATCGACAGTGAGTGCTAGAAACTTTTTCATTGCTCTTGAAGCAGGAGTCACATCCCAGACGCTAGCCCAGATTGCCATATGCAACACACAAGAGAAAGTTTAAATTACAAAGAAGCTTGAATGTAGAACTGGCCGTGAAGTTCACTGGCTAGATAAGCAGGTGGAACAATTCAAAGTGACCCTCTCGTTCAAGCTTTCTCTTCTAATTCATGCTAAATAATAAATGGATTTTCACATTAGTGAGTAAGTCTACCTAACAGTACAGTTTCCTGAGGTCTGTCCTCTTGCCTTATCAGAGATGTCTCTTTCACTACCTTTCCAATACATGGCCACAAGGCTACAGAGAATATGGGGTCCATGAAGGCAGGGATTATTGCAAAGAAACACACACACGTATATACATATATGCAAATATATAGAGAAATGCAGATATATACACATATATACATATGAAGTCCCAGCTAGCAGTTGATGCTGGATGTTATCTAGAAGACCCTCCACATGGGAGTTGCATCCGGATGGTCTCTTCATGTTGTCTTCCTAGATGAGCTACTTTGACTTTCTTCAAAGCTTGGTGGTTGGTATGGAAAGGGAAGCATCTCAGTAAAGAAAGCAAGCCAGGCTGAAATCCCATTGCCTCTTATGTTATAGCCTTGGGGGCTAAACAGTATCACTACCACTGCATTCTATTTGCTGAGGCAATCTGAAAGCTCTACAGCTAGTGCTTGACTTACGACCACGGTCGGGACCGCGGACCGGTCGTAACACGATTTGGTCATAAGTTGAGTAGGCTATATGTACAGTTGAAATGGTGCACGCGGAGATGGTAGTGCTGCCGGAAGCTGGTCCGCAGTGTCGTATGCCCAGCTGGGCAACGTTTGCACTGCCAGACACGGAGCAGTCGTGGCTAGCGATTGTGGTCGTAAAGTCAAATGGTCGTAAGTTGCATACGTGGTAAGTCGATCAATACCTGTGTTTAGATTTAAAGGG